GTTTATACCAAGTCTTTTGGGCTTCCTCTGCATGAGTAGAGTTCGCTTTTTGAGTAAAGTTAGAATTATATGTCACGGGGGGGGGGGGGGCATCAGGATTTTAGAGATGCTTAGGTGGGGCATGGCCCCTGGAACCCCTGGTCTAGCGGTTGCTTTTAACTACCAGCCAAGGGGAAAGGAGGAGGGAGGGAGGGCAAGAAAGACAAGAGATAGTTAAATAAGGAAAGGGCATAAAAATGAAGTCAAATGGAAAACTGAATGTGTATGTGGGGGAGAGGATTTGAACCATCTTCCCAATATTTTCTAGAATATAAAGGGAAATATTAAAACCAGAAGGAAACTTAGTGGAGTCACCATACGTCTTGCTGGAACTTTTTTACCCTGAGCTGAACAGAAAGGCAGCTACCAAAATAATAAGCAGAGGTCAAAGTGAAAGGATTTCTTTCGATTGCTTATTTTTCATGGCTAGGAAGATGCTTCAACCTCATCTTAATTAGCCTTCTTGCTTAATATTACACTGAACATCAGAATAGCTTTGCATTGTAACAGAACAGATTATAAAACATTCATCCTTGCTACTGCATCTTTCTGCAGTAAAAGTGTAAAAGCAGAGTGTCAAGCTTTTGCTTTCAAGGCTGCTTCTGTGGGTTTTATTGTCACAAGTCCAGGGTCTCCTAAATAATTTGCTAAATGAACTTACAACTGTGGATCCTCTGGATGGCCTGGGTTATTATTTTAGATTCTTTAAATCTAAAATGGAAATTATAGACACGGAATGTATTGATGAAACATTTGCTTTTTGTATATTAAAATAATGCTGTTTAAAGGTGTGAGTTTTCTTGGCAACACCTGGGCAAATAATTCCTTCCATCCCAAATAAACCAGGATATTGGACTTGGCTCTAAAACATAAGTGAGCTGTACTAAATATCAACCCTTTATAAGAATGGACCACAAGGTTCCACCACAAATGCGCGAACAACAAAAGCGCGTCTGACTAAACCGCGGTGACAAAACCACGCCGTCAAAACCGCGCCGACGAATGAGCGCTGAAGCACGCCAACAGCGCGCCGACAGAAGCGCGCTGTAACATAACCCTAAAAATAACCTTAAACCTAACCCTAAACCTAACCCTAACCCTAACCCTAAACCTAACTCTAAACCTAACCCTAACTTAAATCGCGCTTCTGTCGGCGCGCTGTTGTTGGCGCGCTGTTGTTGGCGCGCTTTTGACATCACGGTTTTAGCACCGCGGTTTTGTCGGCGCGCTTTTGACGTTCGCGCTTATGTCGTGCCACGGGACCGGAAGAGTAAATGTAGCCAATTCCTTGAAGTAATATCTTACTAATTATGAACTGATAAATTTGCCAATGTAGTTTGAAAGTTAGTAGTTTCTGAATTATTACCACCTTGGGACATATTAGTTCAGAGTTCAACACATCTGGAAGGTTCTGGATCTAGAAGAACAACTGAAATGAAGAACAGGGTTTAAAGTATTTCCCCCTTAATTTCATTGAGATGTATTTGCTTAACCAATTGGGAAGGCTTCCTTTGTTTGGTGAATATTGTTTATGGTAAATAATTCAATGGAGACGTTGCCATTCACTCCAGTGGCTATCTTTC